TTTGTGCAGTGGACTGCCAGACTCGTTGCCAGTTGTTCCCACGTAGAGACCCTGGTGAAGGCCAGTGACCACCAAGAGGAGCGCCCTCGGCCCCTCACAGCCCAGAGTCCAGTGCACACAAACCCCTATTCCACCTGAGAAGAAGCAGCAGACTGCCCCAAGGTATTAGAAAGGGTTAGCACTGGCTAGTCAGCACGAGCTAGCCACAAACGACAGGCGCTGGGAACCCGGGCTGGGGGGAAAGGAAGGTCGAAGAGCCAAGCCAGCCTTTGCTTTAAGACCCATCTTAAAAGCACAGGTTGCACCCTAATCTCCTCCATGCACTAAGTCTATACCCGCTGCACTGCAGCAAAACAGGAAGCCAAGTGGCACTGCTCCTCCTCGGGGAGAAAACAGAACTGGACAGACGCTTGAAACAGTTTCGACACTTGTCCAATGTTAAAGGACAAGTAAACCTCCAACTCCAGGGAGCAGCGCAGAGGAGACTTCATGGGAAAGACGTCAAGCTCACGGCTGCCCAGACCTTCATACAAGCTCATTCCACCAACGCAATAGTGGGAAAGTGAGGCTACAGGTGGCAGGCGGGTAGACTTATAGTAACTGCGGCCCGCCAGTTCCAGGAAAGAGCCCCTCAAGCCCTCCTGTTCTCTCCTCAAGCACTTGTCTCCGCCACAAGTCAAGCCTCATTTCCTCTGCTTGTCAGTCTCGTGAGTGTAAGCTCATGGATTCCACCAGGCGGCAACCTGTACTTGGTGAGAACTGAAAACACCTGTGCTCCCAACTCGGACATTCCAGTGGCACCTACAGACAGTCAGCATCACCCATGGCTTCGACAAAGTACTCGCAGATGATGGCAAATGCTATGGAGAAAAATAAGGCTGAAGTCGGCTCAAGGGACCGGTCATTCTACACAGTGTGCAGAAAAGTCTGCAGAAGACAGGCGACTTTAGAGCAAAAGGCGATACATGTGTTTTGCTCTTGCTCATGTCTTTACACAAAAGCAAAAACATAAAGGACTGGTTAAGCACTTGACTGCCAGCCAAAAGGTTGATGGTTTGAACCCACCCTCAGGCACCACGGAAGACGGGTCTGATGATCTGCCCACGTAGGGTCACCATGAGTTAGAACCTACAACCCTAAAGAACAGAGAAAAAAAAAACCCTCTATGCTAAGAGAGCTGTATTTTAGTTCCCTAATCCCACTGCTTTCCCTCTTCTTCCCTTTGTTGGCCTTATTTCCTCTCCCCCAGCTAGATGACTCGCCCCTTTCCATACTCTACACACACAGTATTCAGCAACACCAAAAGGCTAGGGCAATTCATTGATCAAGACACAAATCTTGGCATCAATAAAATATCAACTCTTCCCAGGTCATAGTTATAAGGCATGGTTCTCAATGCAGGCTGGGAATTTTGCCCTCTAGGTGGCACTTGACAACGTCTTGAGTCATTTTTAATTGGTACAACTGCGGAAGGGTTATCAATTTTCACAAGAAAGAATTATCCAGAATATCAACTGGTAAGTTAGATGTAAGCAAATTGATCTTGAACAGAAATATCTATTCCTGATATTCTAGTTAGGCATCTTATCTAAGGAGAACAAATAAGTTAAAAGGTTAACTTATGTTCTCCAACGTAAATATTAAATGGAACTTACATGATAAAACTCTAATCTACAGTGGCCATAGTAAAACCTGATTTTTAACTGCAAGGTTCATAAGTCCTCCTAGTCTGAAATAATGTAAGAAAGTTCCTGAAAGTGAAGGGCAGATTGGATGAGGTTACACCACGTATTGGAAAAATGGGGAAAGGACTAAGTCATTTGAAAGTTACACTTGGTTTTCTACTATCATTTCCGGCAAATGAGAACTCTAGAAGCAGAACACTACCTCCCTCAAATGAACCAACAACTAGATGCAAGTTTGAGGCCGGCTCTAGGTGCCTTCGCTTTCTCCTAAGAATTCCTCCAATCTTCCTTGAAAAAAATAGAAAAGATGATCCTCAAACTTATATGGAAGGACACAGAACCCAGAAAAGCTAAAGCGATGTTGAGGAAAAATTAGAACGACATAGGAGGGCTCCGAGTTCCTGATTCCAAAACATACTATAAAGCTACAGCAATTCACACAGCCTGGCACTGGTATTAGAAACGGTATCTAAAGAGACCAATGGATTGTTGTTATGGGTAAGTGCCACTGAGTCAGCTCCGACCCACAGCGACCCTGTATCAGTTTTCCGAGGAGTGGCTGGTGGATTTGAACCACCTACCTTGCCATTCAGACTGACCTCGCAGTCCAGTGAATTACCCTGCCGCACCACACCGGGACTCCAAACCAATGGTTCAGAAATAAATCCATACATCTATGGTCAACGGAGTCCTGGTGTGGCGCTGTGGGCTAACGCGTCAGACTGCAAAGCCGTTTGAACTGCAAGGTCGGTGGTTCAAGCTCACCAGCTGCTCCTTGGAAACCCTATATAGGGTGGCTATGGGTCAGAATCGACTCAACGGCACTTAACAACAACAACAACAACCTGGTCAACAGATTTTCTACAAGGATGCTAAATCCATTCAATTGCGAAGGAATGGTGTCTTTAACAAATGATTCCGGCAAAATTGGATATCAACATGTAGAACAATGAATTAGGGTCCATACCTCACACCACACATAAAAAACAACTCAAAATGGAGAAGGGACCAAAATGTGAGGGGTGGGGGGTGGAGGGAAGCAAATTTTACAATTCCTATAAGAAGATGTTGAGCAAGGTTGAGAGACCTAGTGTTTAATGGCAGATTATCAGATATGGCAACAAAAGCGTTAGCAACAATAAGGTGGCAAGACAACCTAGATTGGAAGAAACTTTTTGAGAACTATAAACACGAGAGGAGGAGATCACCAAGTCTTTCTCCAGCAAAGCTGCTAGCTGCCAGGTGGGTTAGGGTTAGCAGCCAGCGAGGCGCCTGTCATTAGCATTACTGGGCCTGTTGTTGTTGTTAACTGCTTGCTCTCCAGTTGATTAGCACTCTTAGTGACCCTGTATAGCGATTTCAAGGTGCAGCTGGTGAATTTGAACCTCTGACCTTGGGGTTCAAACTGTCGTTGCAGTCCAGCATTAGCCCACAGCACCACACCAGGACTCTGCATTAGCCATTTTTGTTGTTGTTGTTAAGTGTTGTCGAGTCGACTCCGACCCATAACGACCTTGTATAGGGTTTCTGAGGAGCAGCTGGTGAGCCTGAACTGCCTACCTTGCAGTCTGGCGTATTAGGAGATGTAAATCAGACACACAATGAGATACCACTTCTTTCCCATTAGAATGGCAATGATCATAAAGGTTGTGAAGAAATAGAAAGACGTGAAGACAAGAGTTTGGTGGTAGAACACAGAATCTTATGTACATGGCTAGTCTAGGAGAAGTGAAGCAAAGCGGTGGAAACAACCAAGTGTCCAACAACAGATGGCAGATAAGCAGTGTGGTACCACATACCTAAGGAGAATTGGTTCAGGTGCATGCCACAACATGCTGAACCTTGAAAACACGCTGAGCCAAGTATGTCATGGTCGCACTAATATGAAATACGCAACTATATAGAAACCATACATTGTAAGTAGTTACCAGGGGTGCCAGGGAGGGAAAAAGGGGGACCTTGTGCTTCGAAGACACGGAATTGATGTTAATGGTGGTGGAGTCAACTAGAATGTAACCCATGTCACTGAATTATACATGTAATATGTGTTGAATTAAAAATAAGCCAAGGTCAGCCAAGTGACCTCTCGCTTGTAGGGAAGAAAATACTCCCCATCAAGTGAACCCTCTCCCTCCCCCCCCAACATGATTTTCAGTTGTGTCCTGTCTTCTGTGTCCTTTGAGCCAGGCTGTTTGCAATCTAGATGCCCTAGGACAGACCAGTACACAGACACATGCTGTCGTTATTAAGGACTGAGAAGTTGGTTCCATCTCATAGTAACCCTGTCAGGGGCAGCCAAGGAGCAGCTGCTGACTCTGAACCGCCAACCTACACCAGAATTCCAGTTGTATACGGTTTCTGAGGAGCAGCTGGTGGGTTTGAACTGCTGACCCTATAATGCCATACCATGAGTCCAAGTAGGCACACATAGACTGTATATATGAAGGTGAAGCGGTGAAACAGAAAGAACTGAATTTTCAGTGCAGACACAAAATCTAGCTTCAGTTCTGATGCCTACATTGTCCGAATTCCAGGCAGCCAGAAGAGTCGGCCGCACTGGTTGCTCATCTGTAACATCAGCGGCTTACAGTAAATCTCCAATGTCCACCTCTTCGTTCATTTATTAAGTCAGCAAACATGTCTGACTGAAGCCCCACTCTGCCAGGCACTTAAGCTAAAGGGAGAAGTGAGCGTGAAATGGCCCTACCCTGGGGCTGCAAGTGACACTATGTGCCTGCTGAGGCTCTCTGTCTCTCTGTCTGTCTCTGTGTGTCCTCTGGACACTGCGGTGAGGCCAAACACCTCCCAGGGTATCAAGCCACTGAAATGGGGGAAGATCGGGAAACAAGAAATGACTGAGGTTAACAGCTGTTCACCGGCCCTCACAAGGGTCTGGCGGGCAGAATCCCCCCCGGAAATCCTGAGAGTCACTGGTCCACCCACAAATACCCACAGGACAGCTGCCTACAACGCAGAGGGACCACGAGCGAGGGCAGTCAAGCCCAAAGTTGGCGTTTCCCATCTTGTTTATTCCTCCAAACAGCAGCACTTCCTAAGCGAACAGGGAGACCTCTGCTGGCCTCGGTCCCCTACGTGCCGTCCAGGAACTTTTCCGTGACCGTACTACGTGCTCCCCGGGGCCCCACGGCCTCCCCGGGCTGCCCTCCCCGGGCTGTCACCTCTAGCCCCTGGCGCCACTGCTCCGCAGCCTCCGCCCTGGAGACAGGGGCCGCCCGCAAGGACACGGGTCCCGGGGCGCCCCCCGCGCCGGGCCCGCTCCCGCGCCCCGAGGCCCCGCGCCCCGCGTCCGCTCACCTCGGGCCGGCTGCGTTTCTGCAGCAAGTGCTCCAGGTAGAGGTCGGAGAGCGCCGTGCGCATGCCGCCCCCGCCCTCGCTCATCTTCAGCGTCATCTCGCCGGAGCCGGGACGCGGAACGCAGAGACGCGGGGGCCTGCGGGCGGCAGCGGAGGTGGCGAAGGCGCGGGGACGCGGCGCGGCTGGCCCGTCACCCTCCCGCAGGCGGCGCGTTGGACGGGGGGCGGAGCTCCGCGCGCTCCGCCCACGCCCCGCCCACACTCAGGCCTAGGTGGAGAGAGGAGGGCGGGACGCTGAAGGAGAGGAGGTTCGCTGCGCCTTTGCCTCCCTGCTTCGGCGCGGTCCACCCCCAGGACAGCGCGGAGGCGCTGGGGGAGAGCGGGGGAGGGGGGTCCAGGAGTGCCTCCGCGCCCCTTCACCTCCACTGGGCCGAGAGGCTGCAGAATCATCGCTGATGCCAGCCAAGCACATGAGCACTTAGAGGAGGTGGAGCGCTTTTCAGACTCCCTTAAGATTGTCAGATCTCTTACTGTTGATGCCATCATTTACACACACACACACACACACACACACACACATATGTGCTGCGCTTGCAAGACTCGGGACTGTCTACTACCTGCAGACATTTTGATAAAAATCTTGTCTCCTTACCCTGAGCTAGTCACCTGAACTTTTAGGAAGCAGTTCACCGTATACTGACCTTCTTCAAAGTCATACCCAGGAGGAGAAACTCCAAGGGCAAGAGTTTGGAACTGTATCACCTAGTTTTCTCAGTTATGTGGCTGCTTACCTAAGAGGCTGGATGCCCATGGTTGCTGGTTCCCTTCCCCAAGCTCACCACATAGGAAAGAATGAAACACTAAAGTATAGGACAAAGGTGAGATGCTAAGAAAGTAATATTAAATGAAGAGTAAAAAAAGGGTGAAGAAAATCAAAGACACATGAAAACAATTAGTCTAATGGACTAATGGACTTGCGAGCCACACCCCTGAAACCAGAAGAACTACATGGTGCCTGGCTTACTTTGCCAACCACTCAGAAAGAGATCTCATGAGAAGGGCCTGGATACATTGGGAGAAAATGTGGAACAAAACATGAAATCATAAGAAGGACCAGGCTTACTGGTAGGATAGAGACTGCGGGGACTCTCAAGAACATGGTACAGAAGAGGAACAAACAAGATGGTGGGTAGGGTAGAAGGGCAGTGAGGAACTCCATCAGTAACAACACAGAATATCGAACCAAGCAGGCTCAGGGGATGGTGCCAGAACTCTGAACAACTTAAAAGGCAGATTTAGAAGGTTGGAAGGCTTACAGCCAGTGGAATCTGTAGCAGAAGCAAGAAATCCAGTGCTTTCTAATTCAAGATGCTCAGCTGCTCCCAGAGCCACCATCTTGGGTGAGACCAAGCGGGTGAAGGATCAGAGCAGCCATGGACACCTGACAGAACCGTGGAGATAAAGATGTGGACGCTCTTATTTATTTATTTGTTTGTTTGTTTGCTTGTTTATTTTTGGTATCTGTTCATTGGTCTCTCACTGTCTGTGCACCTCCATTCAGGAGACTAGAGAGGGTGCCTGAGCGAGTAGATACCCCACACCCACACCCGGAGGGTTCTACTACGCATGCACACAGATCTCCTCAAAATTTAAAGGGACAGTTTCCACTGAAAACCAAATGGCAATGCAAAACAGCCACAGCCATCCCTGAACTGTTTGTCACTAGGAAAAAAGGCCTGAACAGAGTTTGTGGAGCGGGAGGCATTGAAGAAACTCAACGAACCCCAGGAAGGCTAGACCCTAAAAGACAATCACCAATACATATAATATCAAATGCGAAGGTATAATCAAAACATTCCAAGATAAACAGAAGTTAACGGATTTTGCCAAAGCCAATCCTGCTATGAAAAACATCCTAAAAGAAGTTCTGTGGACTGAAAACCAACAAGAACCGACAAAAACCACAGAATGACATATGTGGCAGCATCTCCCTGAACTCAATCAACAAATGGAAGAGCCAAGAACAGAATAAAATTATAAGAACAGAGGATCTGGGAGGTCAGTCTATGATCAAAACAATT